TACCGAGCGCCCCGCCCCGCCGCGCCAGCCCCGCTCCACGGGCGCCCCGCGGGGAGGCACTCGGGGGTGGATGGTAACGGGGTGGAGGGCGATCGTTCGAGGTGCGGGGCGGGGCGGGGCGGGCACGCTTTTGCCGAGCAGGAGCGCGGTGATGTGATGACCCCGTTTCGCGAGAAGAGAAGCCTCGCGGCCGCGGCGGAGTTGGAGCGAGATGGAGAGCGAGAGGGACAGAGAGAGTCGGCTGTGAGTCAGATAGAGAGAGAGCGAGCAGGGGACGCGCGTCAAGCGATGCAATTAAACAAAGCCGCAAACAGCGCCACGCTAGGCAGCCGGCGACGATCGCGGCGATATCGCACCCGCGGCTGCTGCTAGCTGCTGCCCAGCGAGACGTGGTGAGGCGCCGGGCGCGGAGCAGGCGGGCAGCAGCGGGCACTGCCGCGGCGGTGTGCTCACTGCTACTAGAGGACCTTGTTGAAGCAAGCGTGGTGCACCATGCAGGCCCTGCGAGTTGCCTTTGGGAGGACTAGGCCAGGCGGGGACCCGAAAGTGGGCGCGATATCCGGCTGACAGCGGGCACCGTTGGGTTGTCTACTTGCAGGAGTTTTGCAGCACAGATTGCCTACCGTTCAGGCGACTCACTGGAGACGCCCCCCCCCCCTAACACACATACCGCGATGATACCAACCGTGTATTCTACATAGATTATTATCGCAACATCGGAAGGGAGGGTATATGAGGCTAACGAAAAGTGTTTTGACGATATTTGTCGACGCCTCGATACGCCGATATGAGCATATCGACCCCTCGATACCAATGTGGTATCACAACACCGCTTTATCGAGATATAGCACAGCGTGAGTTTCCTCTCCAAAGACTCGCAGCGCACCCTGACCAGTGTCGGCATAGGCAATAATCCGCGACCGCATGCGGTACAAAAACGGTACAAAAAGTCGTCGGCGGAGGCTGGGCGTGAGCGCGCACGCGAGAAACAGCTAGGGGCGGCCGCCTGCCCTCTCGCTCGCACCCGCTCGCACCGCCGCAGCGCGGGGGGCGCTCTCGCCCTCACTCACTCACTCTCCCTCCCACACTCACACACGCGGCGGTGTGGGTGACGCATACAGCATGGGAAAGAAAGTGTTGCGTGGAGTCGAGCGGAGATCCGTAAGTAACATGCAGAGGGCACGGCCCGCGCCGCCTGTCTTCTGCTCCGTCTGCTCCGCCTATGCGCGCCGCGCCAACCGCCTCGCGGTCAACCGCACGGCTGCTTTGCTGGACGCGCTTCATGTCGGCCGGAGAGCAGCTTCCTCGCGGGGTCCTCGTCGGTCGCGGGGTCGGGACCGGGCTGCTCGGCGGGATCAAACCGAGATCGAGAAAGTGGCGGGCTTTACGTACGACGAGGTGGTTTTATGCGGAGCTTTGCCGCAGCGGTCGACCCTAGAGCTAACCATGTTCCGAGTGGAGCAGAAGCACCTCCCTATCGCAGAGTAAGCTGCCAGTACCGGCTGTGTGTGGTGTCTGCGCACCCGGCAATGCACGTCCAGCTATGCACGCACACTTTTTAGAAGAAAAGGCAAAGGCGATTAAGGAATTTAAAGACTTTGATGTCGACTACTTTGTATATACTAGGAAGTTTTACACGATGTTTCATTTTATTTAAAAATTAACTGTCAAGATGAGGTGCAGCTATTTGAAGGACAAAAATGTCAAAGCTGTTAAAATGTTCTTGTTGTATATATCTAAATGTTTCTTGGAAGTTTTGAATGATAAATGATGCCTTTTTTAAAATCACGATTCAGTTTTTAACTTCGGGCACTACTCGAAGTGATCTTTCGGGAACCGACACGACTGACACTTTCCATCGAAAAGTCGAGAGTGAAGAAAAGTTCAACGGTTTCAGGTGAAAGACAGCTCTACAAACGGGGCATTGTTTCAGGACCATAGAGATTAGTTGTAACCAGCAGAGGTCATAACAGCTCTCAGGTCGTAGTATGTTACTCACATCACTTTAAGTGGCTGTAAGGCGCCCCTCCAGGTGCAAGATAGGGATGTAATAAAACCAGCGAGCACGCGTCCGCTTCACATTTCTTTCTATCTCTCTCTCTCGCACTCGAGGAAAGGGAAGGACCTCCTGCGCGAGACCCCGCGGGCCGCACTCACACGTAACGCCCGGCAGCTGGCCGGCAGCGACGGCATATTGCACGTATTGATCAGAGCGGCTTGTGCCTTTCCTTTCCCCGCGCGCGTCCAAAGCCGACCGCAGCTCCGCAGCCGCCCCGCGCGCCGCCGCCGCGACCTTCGCGTCCTGTTTCATTCCGGCCGGTCCCCCCTCACTACTCGCGGCGGGGCGCGTGGCGTGGCGTGGCGTGGTGTGGCGGGGCGGGACGGGGCGTGGCGTGGCGGCCAAGGCCTGGCACAGCTGATACGACGGCAACACGGAGGTACGGTGAGTGACTGGCGCGCACCGCCATGACGGCGCGATCGACGCGAATCACGAGTACCAAGTAGTATAACCCGAGGCGACAACGTCATAATGACGTCCGAATTGCGAATGGAGTGTGGTCAGCAGTGGCAGTGGCTTCCATATGACATCACCGCGACTCAAGCTCGGGATGGTAGCCCGCGTTGAGGTCTCCGGCCGGCCCGCCGTCCCAGTTTGAAAAAAAAAAAAAGGCTGATTGCTATTACGACCATTACGACCATCTCCTCACAGATGCACTCAGAGGGGCATGTTCTTACTTTCTCAATGTTCTTGCTGAATTTAAGAAAATTGTATAATTTTCTCAAAACATAGACATGTACATGTAGAAGCACAATTTTTGCCATACATGCACATCTTAACTTCAGCAAGAACCGGCAAGAACATTGAAAATTCAAGAACATTCTTCCCTGGGTGTGTCTCTGGTCAGCCTCATACATTGGTACATGGGAGTAACAGTATCAATCACACATGCGATGGCCTATGGTTGTAAAAACAATCAGCTACGATATCATTATTATTTTTTTTCCTTTTTACAGTGCGGGGCCGCAGCCTCGCCGTGTGTCCTGGAGCACGGCGGCGGGTCGCGGCTCCGGCCCGCATCGCACATCGGCGCGGAATGTTCATGGTTCGATTACCGCCTTGGGCGCGCGTCGATGTTTAGCCGCACACAGTCGGGCTCGACTCTACGGCTAGATCCAGACTGCAGCGCCACAAACCCACATGTTTACTGAGACGCGGAGCAGCGGCGGCGGCGGCGGCACACAAGGCGAGGAAGCAAACGGCCATCAGATATCATACACGGTATGCGCGGGGCAGTCACCGTTCCGCCTGGGGCCCGACCCCCGGCACCCGGCCCCGGCCCGGCGAGGCGAGAAGGAGAGTTCACTTGCAGCCATCAGTCACCTCCAGCCAGCCTCCAGGCGGGCCGCCGCGGAGGTAGGCAACCGCAGCGCAGCAGCGCGCGCCCGCGCACCGGGTGGCCTACCCCGAGCGTGGCAGGCGCTCCAACACGCGGCACCGTTCCGGGGATCGGTCGGGTTCGTCGGGTTTCGCACGTCGCTAACAAACCCTGCGCACTCCGAGAGCAAACCCAACCTGACCCGGCGGCTCAGCCGTCTCAGTGCGAGGGGGGCCAGAAGACGTGGTCTCACTAGCACTCCGTTTCGTCGGAGACCTGAACCCGTCCGATCCGGAACACTCACCCAGAAAAGTGAAGAAGCTGTAGCAACCATCGTACGGTACATCTTCAGGGAACCATAGATTATGGTTCAGTCAAAAACGGCACCGGTTAACCAAAAATACGGTTTTCACTCTAGGTGACATGCCGACACACCGCGACGCTAGAATGGACGGGAAGAGCTGGAAGATCCGAGCGCAGCACAGTGAAGGCAGCGGATTCCCACGGGGGGAGGTCCCGGCGTTGTCAACAGTTAGCCAGTAAGGGGCCGTTCACAAATTACGTCACGCAGCTGACGGGGGGGAGGGGGTCTCTGCCCGCGTGACGGTCCTATGCTGAAAGCATTAGAAGGTTAGGTTAGCCGCGTGACGTGGGGGAGGGGGGGAGTCAAAACCGGCCGAAATTTGCGTGACGTAATTTGTGAACGGCCCCTAACATGCTTCGAATGCAGCCAGCTGTACGGCCGAGCGCGGGGAGAGCACTACTCTATATCGTCGACCCTAAGGCGCTTGCGTCCCAGTCTCCGTTTGCGCGTTCTGGTTGGGCAACGATTTGCCTTTTCATTATTAAGTAATCGTAATAGTCTTGGCCCCATATAAATTATGCAGTCGTAAGTACAATCCCGGGAGCAGCAGCGGCGGCAAACAAAATGTCAAACACGCTGCATAATGGTGCGTCGTAACGCCGTGACGAGGAGGTGGGCCCACCACCCCGCCCCGCCCCGCCATTCAACGCCCCAACAACGCGAGCACGACCGCGCGGCTGCAAGCCGATTCAATCGCGCGGGCGGCGGATTTGAAAGCCTTACTTTTATGTATTGATTGAGCAACGCGGCATCTAGGCATGAGCCGGCAACGTGAGGAGGGTGCGGGAGGGGGAAGGGTTGGGGG